AAGGGAAAAATAGATAAAATAATTATGGTGACATGTACTACTGGTTCAGGTCAGCTTATGATTAGACACTGCAGGTGGTGATAAAACAAAACTGTTAGAAGGATAAGGAGATAAGGTTAGAACAGCACCCAAGGAATTCAAAATTAATCTTTTGTCCTTCCTCCCTAGAAGGGTGAGAAAGAAGCACATTAATTATTTTTGTACCCTTGAAGAGAAGTGCTTATCAACATTTTGGAACTTGTGGCATGCTATTATTTGTTGGACTTTTTTGGGGGGTCTATTTCATATCTCTCATAACTATTGCTTTAAAAGGAAAGCTCTCATAAAAAGGAAAATTTATTAATTTTAGCTCTATTTTAAGGATTTGGTGAAAATTTCCTGATATTGCTTGAGGAAACTCTAGGCTCCTGGAAGTGCTGTCTCTATAGAGCAGTGTTTCTCCAACTTTAGCATGTATTAGATTTCTTGGCCCTACCCCCAGAGTTTGATATAAGTAGGTCTGGGATCAGAATCTAGGGTTTGCATTTCCAGCAGGTTCCCAGTTTTTGCTGACACTTTTGGTCTGGGAAGCACACTTGAGAACCATTGGTTTAAACAAAACTTCTCTGTCTTCCCTCTCCAGGCCCTGAGCTGGGCCTTCTTGCAGATCAGTGCTCTCCTTATGAACAGAGTTAATCTCCTGTCTTATGAGGCAGTTCTGTAAAACACCTGGCTGAGGCAGGGGACAAGTATTAAAGTCTGCTTGTGACTAATGATTCCGTTTTCCTGCACTTCAGTTCCATACAGCTCTTGGATCCCGACAATTTACATTAACATGAGACCTCTTACCTTTTTCCACTTTGGGATTTATGACTTCCTGGTTCTTGTCTGTCTGCCCTGTTTCCAGCTCCCTACTTGGCTTGACCTTTGCTTATATTGGAGTCTCTTCCTAGCAAATCTGCCTCCTTCTAATTCTCAGCTTGTTTCTAAGCCAAAGGTTCACAACATTTTTTGGTAAATGATGCCCTTAGTTTCTCAGTAACATTTTCATAATTCTTTTAGTCCATTTGGGCTACTGTAACGAAATACCACAATTTGGATAGGTTATAAACAACAGAAATTTATCTCTCACAGTCTGGAGGCTGAAAGTCCAAGATCAAGGTGCTGGCAGATTCTATGTCTTGTAAGTGCTTATCTCCTTATGAACGACTATCTTCTCATTGTAATCTCACACGGTGAAATGACTGAGGGGTCTTTCTCAGGCCTGTTTGTCTGTTAGTGTTTTTTATAGAGACAGTATGTTGCTATGTTGCTCAGGCTGGTCTCAAACTCCTGGCCTCAAGTGATCTTCCTGCCTCAGCCTCCCAAAGTGCAAAGATTACAGATGTGAGTCACTGAGCTGGCTTAGATCTCTTTTTTAAGACACTAATCTCATTCATGAGGGCTCCGCCCTCATGACTTAATCACTTTCCAAAGGCCCCCCCCCACCTCCTGATATCATTACCTTGAGGGTGAGGGCATGAATTTTAGAGGGACGTAAACATTCAGGCCACAGCACTCCCCTAAGCCAAAAGTAATACATAATGGTTCTGTTTATTAAGTAGCTAGGTCCAAATAATTTGATAGTAGAAGTTTGTGCAGTGT